TGGGCCAGTGAGGGGCATCTTGTCTCATAGTGGGGCTGGCCATGTGGTCCTCTCTGTGGACTGGCTGCTCTATTTGGCCTAGTGGGCCAGGATGTTTCAGCACATTTTTAATGCAGTTTTTGTGGCAAAATTAGGTGTTTCGGCTGATATTTTGGTTGGCTTATACTCGAGTATATACGGTATCTATTTGTAGCTTTCAGAACTGTCTGAACAGTTGTTCATTTCAGGGACAATAAAGAGCAACAAGCAGGAGTTATTCACCATGAGTAAAGAACTGGCCAGAGAGCCCCCATGGGGCAATGGTTAAAGCCTTTGGCTGTGAATCAAAGGGTCATTGGTTGACACCCCCTAACCACTCTGCAGGAGAAAGATGTGGGAGTTGGCTTCTGTAAAAATCAGTCTTGTAAAGTAGCTCTACTGTGTCACATGTGGTCGCTTTGAGTTGGAACTGACTGGAAGGAGGGCCAGTGGGTTTGGAACACTAACAGATGGGTGAGATGTTCCCGAGTGGGAGAAATGTATTATTTTTATCTATTTAAATAGGGCAGGCTTCTGGGAGTGAAGAAACTTTGGCCAGTATGTATTTCACCATTGTCTCTGTTTTGTAACTTTGATAAGTAATAAAAGAGCAACACATTACTTTTCACTGGAGAATAAATTTAATAGAAAAATATTTTCAACATAACAAATCCCCTCCCCCACATAAGAATTGACAACTTGTTATTAACATTGAAAGGCACTATTCAAAACATACAGTTATATCTGCAAGGTAGAACAATCCTGAAATTGGCTTTGTAAAAAAAATCTAGTAGACTATGAGAAGCTCTGGTGGCACCGGGGACTAGGCGTTGGGTTGCTAACTACAAGATCTGTGGTTCAAGCCTACCTGCTGCTCCTCGAGGGAAAGATGAAGCTGCCTGTTCCCTTAAAGATGTATAAGGTCTCTTCGAGTTGCTATGACTCATGGCAGTGGGCCTGGGTGGGGCTTGGTTAGGATCCTAGGCAGCAGCATTTGGTTCTAACAAACGCGGGGTCGCTATGCGTTGGAACACATCTGATTTGTAACTTAAAGAAAACCAAGTAAGATATAACCATCAACCATCCGGTAAAACAGAAAAACAAAAACCAAACAATGAAACACTAGTACAGATGATTAGCGGTAAGTTTTTATGGTTACCTTACCTGTGTGTGTATGTGTGTGTGTGATGTTCTATTTATTTGATCCTTGCTAGGCAACTGGGATATCTTGTGAGAATAACCTGTTCTCTAAATAATTTATCATCAGGGTAGACTTGCCACGCAACCTAAATATACAGAGAATTCAGGCCGCTTAAAGTGTTTCCCACATGGCATCAAGTGGATTCTGACGCACAGCGACTCCATGTGACAGAGCAGAACTGTCCTATAAGGTAAGATCAGCCCCCCTGGCATTTTCTTTCTCCTTGGCAAGGCGAGTGGGTTTGAACCATTGACCTTCTGGTGAGGAGCCCTGGGCTCTAACCGTTGTACCATCAGGACACTTTGTTAGAACTGTGTACATGACTTCGATCTGGAAGCTGGTCTGTGGGGGCCTAATGACAAGGTCTTGCTCAAATCTGCCCTCCTGAGATATAAGATTTGAAACCTGGAATGCTTTTGCCTTTAAAAAGAAGAGGCTAGGTCTCCCACAACAGTGCTACCTTTTAAACATTACCAGTGTCTCGTTTCCTTCAGCTGGCTCAAGTATATTCAATGTAAACAACGGTATTGGGAAGTATTGGGTCAAAGGAAGTCAAAGAGGTCTCCCGTGGGTCCTGGAAATGGGGCATGAACTCTGACCCTGTGGCTGAGCTCAGAGCGAGGGAGCTGCTGCTGCTTTGTGACGCGTTTGTGGAGCATCACGGCGATGCCTCTTCGTTGGTGACTTGTTTCTATTCGGCACAAATAGCATAGGTTGTCGTAGGACCAGGCTTTGGTTATGAGGCCTGGGACGTGTCACCGTGAAAGTGCGGTGCTGGGAAACTTCCCCATGGGACAGGTGTGTTCAGGGACGATGGTCTGGAGACAGCAGCAGGCCCCTCTCCTCACTCGGCACGGGCTCCATCCGGAAATTGCACTCGGCTACGCACGCAACACGTCTTTCGTCAGGGCACTTCCGAGTCCACGCATTTCTACTTGGTTGGCTTTTTCGACTCCTACTTCTTTAATTCTCTTAATTCCTGGGGCTGTAAACTCTGATCCACTCCCGGGGTCAATTGATAGCCCAGAGGAGACACAATGTATCCATTTTGATAAAGACAGAATCTCTTGCAGCATTCAAAAGTGCTACACATAATGCCAAAATATGGAACTATCTGTTAAAACGAACAAACAAACAAACAAGGACAACAATCATGTTACGATCCAGGTGAAGAGAGCCAGATGGGATGAAACTGACAAAAGCAACTGGAAAGCTGAGATAGGAAGCTTAGCAGGCAGTGAGTTGATGTTAACGGAGGCCTGGGGCCTGCAGCTCAGCCAGTGAGGGTGAGATGGGCCGCCCAACTTGAAGGATACCATCCACACCACTGTAGTATTGTCTGTGGTGCATGCTTCGCTGCGTGGATGTTCGACAACAAGCGAGTCAATCTTTATAAAACTCCAGTTGAAGAATTAACATATTTCTTTCAAAGAATCAGGCAAGACGGCCAAGGGGAAACTGGGACTATGCCAGGAGGGCAGAGGGATGAAGGCGACTGAAGGACCACCCTGGGGAACACTGGATTGGGGTTAATATGTAAGTAGTCCATCCACTGCCTGCTAACTTATCCTTGCCTTGACTGGGAGCATTTCCATGACAATGGGTGCAGGAACCCTTAACCTTTTCCTCGGGAAGTTCTTTGGGAGTATGAGGAAAGCTATGGGCTCTCTCGCTAGAGACAGGCATATGTGCACACACATTTACAATTCAACAAAAGCAAACTCCCCGCCATGGGAGTCGATTCGCCTCCGCACAGCAACCCCACAGGACAGGGCAGAACTGCCCCTGTGGGCTTCTGGGACTGTAACTCATTATGGGAGTCGAAAGCCTCATCTTGCTTCCTCAGAGTGGCTGGTGGGTTTGAACTGCTGCCCTTGTGATTTAGCAGGCCAATGTATAGCCACTACCAAGGCTCCTTCACACACCCACACAACACTTTGCATACAGCTTTAGGATAGGAGACTTAGGATCCCCATATGGGCCTATGATCTCCCATGTTAGAAGCCTCGACACTAAATTCTCAGTTCCTCTGGGATAGGACATGACACACCTTACCAGTGTAGATGGTCCCTCTCTTTAGGGCCGATAGCCAGGCTACTCTCATAGGCTTAGTGCTACTTAATGGGAGCAGAGATGGGGGTGGTGGGGTGGGGTGTTTCCTGTGAACTGTAGCGTGCAGTGACAAAACAAGAGAGTAGTACTGGAAGAGGCAAGGAAACAGAAGAGACTGGTCACCGCTCTCACCTTCAGTAAGCTGGCTGTCAGTCCGTTCCAGAGCCCCAGCACCCCTTGAGTCTTTATAATCTGCCGGAAGCAGTCCACAACTCCTGAGAAATGGACATCAACTCCTCCATGATGGGGGAGATAGAGGCTGTGCGCCTGCCAGGAAATAGAAGGTGGGAGGAAGCCATTTAGTCTGCAGGACATAGACATTCTCGTCAAAGTAGCCAGGCTCTGCAGCATGGACTCCTCCAGGTGCTATGCCCCTGGCCACGAGGGTGCCAAAGAACAGTGGCTGCAGGGTTCTTCGGGCTTAGAAGGGTCACATGCAGCAAAGTCATGATCCTCCCACTGACATATGTGTGGTTATTTTGCTTAGATGCAAGCAGCCATTTAGGATAAACACAATTTCATATTTCCGTGACCCCCCCCACCACCAATCTCTGTCTTCCAGACATGATAAACACACTTCCATCTCCTACACCTTTCTGAGTGCCCTCCTGCTTATTATGTATTGGAGGTTCCGTGGTCGAATTCTCATCTTCCATGCAGGCAGAGACCCAGGTTCGATTCCTGGTCAATGTACCTCATACATAGCCACTGCCTGTCTATCAGTGGAAGCTTGTATGACAGCTTGCAGACTTAGACACACTAGGAAGAACAGCCTGGCAACAAACGTACTTCTGGAAATAAGCCAATGAAGATCGGCAGGATCCCAATGGTGCTGAGCCACAACCATTCTTGACTAGGCAGGGGTCACCATACGTCAGGGCCTAATTGGACAGCACCGCCCCCCCCCTTCTTTGTCTTACTTATCCTGATCACCAGGCAAACTGGAGACATCCCTTCTCCTTCACACTCTCAAGGAGACCTGGGCTTGCTTCCCTGCCCCCCTCACCCCAGGCTCCCCAGGGTGGGGAGTGGAGGGATGGTGGCAATCCCAGCCCCTTTCATTTACGTGCTCCAAACTCGCTAGTGCTCAGGCCACTGCTAGATCTTAGAGTTGCTGGGTTTGGTTGTTTGTGTTTGTGTTTGTGTTCTTTTAAAATAAGGAGCCATGGTGGCGTAGCGGTTATGTGTTGGGCTGCTAACTGCAAGGTCAGCAGTTTGAATCCACCAGCTGTCCGAGGGAGAAAGACGAGGCTATCTACTACCCGAAAGAGTAACAGGCTCGGGCCTCAGAGGGGGCACCAAAGAAAAAAAAATAGTAACAGGCTCAGACACTCACAGGGGCAGTTCGACCCTGTCCTACAGGGTCGCTATTAGTCAGAATGACTCTCCGGCAGCAAGAGATAGGGTAGCTGTGATACCGCAGCAGGCCCCAGGCCAGACGCTAGGGCTTCTTGTACTTTGCCCTCCTTTGTTTCAATCTTTTTTTTAACATTTTATTAGGGGCTCATACAACTGTTATCCCAATCCATACACACATCATTTGTGTAAAGCGTATTTGTACATCGTTTCTCAAAACATTTTCTCTCCATTTAAACCCCCGACATTAGGTCCTCATCCTTTGTTTCAATCTTAACAGCGCTGTTTGAATTCATGATAAATCGACAAACTCCTGCTGTTTCCCTTTAAAGGAGGTGGCAATCCCTTGCTAGACAATCCCTGCAGCTGACATGTGGACAAGCTACTCCAAGCAAAGAGGACCGGACGGCCTGTTTCAAGACCAAGCACCTAAAGCTGTTGATTGCTCCAGAAGACTCCCTCCACTGAGATGACCAGCTTTCTCCTTATCTTTGCCCTGTTTCTGAAACTTGCCTATAAAAGCACTCCTTAGTCTGTTGTTGGGAAAGGCAGGTTTTGGCCAACAGTACTCACTCTGTCTCTTTAGATATCCCGCACAAAGAAACAAACCCACTGGCATCAAGTTGAGGCCAACTGACTCACAGTGACCTAGAGGACAAGATAGAACTGCCCCCGTAGATTTCTGAGACTATTAACTCTTTTTCCCCCTATTATTATTTTTTTAAACATTTCATTAGGGGCTCATACAACTCTTATCGCAATCCATACACACATCAATTGTGTAAAGCGCATTTGTACTTCATTCTCAAAACATTTTCTCTCCA